CAGCTTCCACCGGGCGAGCAATCTTGCCGTCATAAAAAGGAGTTGCGACCTTCTTGAGATTATGATACTCAGGGCCTGCGAGCTCCTTGTAGCGATCGATGGCTTGTTGTAAAAACGAGCTCATGTCATAGACGACCTGCCTAGTGGGCGAGAACATACAGCCTTTGCCTTCATCAAGCTGATTGATATCATAGAAGGCTTGCTTCCTAGCTGCTTTCTTGGCTTTGGTCTTGTCACGCACTCTCTTGACAGCAGCCATAGCAGTGATTGCATTGTGACTGTCGGACATGAGGTATGTGCACCCTGTCCACAGTTCCCGTTCTCTAGACTGACCATGTTGATCCCAGACCTCTTCAACCTCATCACGGAATGAAAGAGACATCACTTCAGCGAGTCGACTTTTGCCAACGTTGAGCGCTTGTGCCTCTTCCGGTCTAAGATGGCAGAAAGCCTTACGGGGCTGAAGATGATATCTTACGACAACACCTTCTTCAGGAAAGTATTCAGTGTAGTCCTGTGTTGGCGCAGCTGTTGCTGGTTTCGCGGCAGGGTCAGGAATGCTCTTATCAAACACATGTGCAAAGGGGTGGTCTGCTCTTCCGAGCGACGATGATTTTGATAGGTGCTCGCAACCTAGATAGCGACCTAGGGCTGACGGAGTATCCATATCAATCTTCGATGCAATCAGCTCCCATCCCTTTGCCATGCTTTCTTTCGGACCTGCCATCTTGAAGTCGTCAACATATACAGCAAGCAACAACTTAAGTTCAGGGTGAAAGAACGCAGAAGGCCATGCGGCAGGAAACACAAGATGGAATCCCACCTCTTTGAGCATCTTTTCGCAGTGTTGTTCCCAGAAGCCTCCACTGTCAGGATGACCATACAGGGCTAAAACTAACTTAGCAACCGGATCCTTAAGTTTGCCTTGCCAACCTTTAGGCCAGCGCTCCCTGAGCAAGCGAACCCAGGTTTCAGCACCTTTGAGCCTGGTCTGAGTATATGCCTGTAAGCGTCAAGCGTCTTTCCTGCCTCCATCGTGGCAGGACTAGAGCCTAGCTCACTGAATAGAGCCGTGTCGTTATTTTCGTCTTTCACGTTGTTACCCTGAAACACGGTTCTCCCTTTGAACTTGCGAAGCGGGTCTCCCTCGGGAAGCTCGCTGCCTTTTTCGACGCAAATTTCGAAAATTTTGCCAACGTGAACCTTCTTGTTCTTCTGTTCTTCTTTTGCGCTTCCTCTGAAACGCTGTTCCACTCTCTCACTGACTTCATGTCCCATGCCTTCTTCTTCATAAGTTTGTCCCACTCAACGTCAAGCGCAGCCTGAGCCTTAGGATTCTGCGTAAGCTCTTTCTTGCCAACAGGTCTCGCAACTAATGCGGTGAGTTCGGCAACTCAAGCGATAGTGAAGAGGGCTTAGCAATCTTATCCCTATGCTCTTCAGGCTGACTCGGGACAACAGGCATGATAGGAAAGGAGCCATCTCCGTTAGGAGTGG